CCTTCGGGGTGCGGCGCGTGCCCATCCGTGTCATGCCTCTGGTAGGCTGGCTACGGCTGGGGCTGTCTACCCTGGGGGGCGCTCTGGCAGGGTCCGGGGCCCTCCTGTGCGCCCTCCCGTGTGAACTCCGCGCTAACTCACGCGCCGGCAGAGAAGCGCGCCTGTTTGCGCAGCCTGTTCGCGTGGCTCCCTGGGGGGGCTGGGCGAAGTAGGGGCCTGGGCGGGGGTTGGGGGGCTCCGCAGCTGCTGGAGGGTTTTCGGGGGCTTCTGGGGGGCTTCGGGGGAGCGGGAGCGCAGCGAGCTTTCACCCGCGCGTCTCTCGCCACTTCCGAGCCTAACTGAGATTTGGTATATCTGTCAAATCCACATGGAGCATCACAAGAAGAGAATGGGCCTATTTACAAAAAATGACAAATAAAAAGGAAACATGACAGATGTATACAGAGAGTATGAATGTGTCATGTTTTTTTTTTCCAAGGCCAGAAAGGACCACAATGGTGACCTTTGGCATACTAGGAGGTAAAGATGTTCTTCAAAATATTTTTTGCATCAAATACAATAAACAGCGGTAAAATTAAAACATCTTTCTTAGTTTCATAGATGTAGGGTCGGAAGGGTCCTAAGTAGATCATCAAGTCCGACCTTTAAAGTCTTGGGACCTTTAAATCGAGGTTGGCTGACTGAGTGATGAAGACTCCAGCACATCCCTCGATAAACTGTACTAATGTTTAGTTATATTTAAAAATTGTATATTATTTCTGTTTTAAATTTTCCTCAATTTGATTTTCAAGCGTTGAATCTTATTATGCATTTGTCTGCTAGGCTAAAAATTCAGTAGTATTACAAAATCATAGTAATGGGATATATAAGGGACCTCTCAGGAGGTCATCTAATCTAACCCCCTCCTCAAAGCAAGATCAACCCTGAACAAACCATCCCAGCCGAGTATCTGTCAAACCTGTTCTCTGCCACTGTGTGAAAAAGGATAGTTATCTAGACGGACCTATGGGACATGCAAGATTGTGACTGCACAAGTAAACCTGTGATAAGGATGCATCTTAATCTCCTTTGTGATGGGCATTTCTTGAAAATGATTCCTTTAGCTTACGGGATAACACGAAACAAGTCTATAAGTCGGTTGTTTAGCCTGCTGCCTTGTCCAAGAAAATGTGCCCTATTAGAAGCTCCTCAGCCAGTTGTTCAAAACAGAATTCAGTCCTTCCATAAACAGCTACAACAAAGCCACTCTGTCCTCTCCTCTCCTTCACAGCTTGCTTCCTTCTCCTCCTTGCTTTCTCTTCCAGGAGCTTTTAAAACTCCCAGTAGGACATTCCCTCATTACCCAAATGTCCCACAGCTGGGCTTCCTCAACAGGGCTGGCTCCCCTCCCTTAAGGGGACAGACTGTTACAAAATCTCACTGACTTTCATTGCAAATGACACTTTAAGCATTTCAAGGATCTTTGTTGCAAAATGCACTTTCCAGACCTTTAATTTCTTTCCTTTTTTTTTTTTTTTTTTTTTTTTAAATCAACCTTCAATTCCAGATCTTTCTCTCTGTTCTGTGCCTTCAATTCTTGAACATTTTTTTTAAAAGCATGGACACTCAAACTGGAGACAGCTTTTCAGTAGCAGTAGTCTCAGTAGTACTATACACAGAAGTTAATATCGATTTCTCTGAATTAAAATAATAATAAAATCTTTTTATGATTAGATTTTAAAATTATTGTAATTAACATTTTTGTAAATAGACAATTTAGAACTGAATCACCTGCTATTGCTCCTTTGAATACTTACCAAAATTTACTGCAAAGGTATCTGCATGCCAAAGTGGGTGAAAAAATGTGTGGTATTGTGTAAAAGACACTTTAAACCACTTAGAATACCCACTATAGGAAAGGTACCATTGAAATGCAAAATGTGATTTGCCACATTGATCTGATTATAATTCATACAATCAATCAATCTCACATTTTCAAGCTCAAATTTAGAAAACAAAACCCCAACAGTTCCTTGAACATATGCCAATCACTACTTGTAAAGACCTTCACAAGATACAACAGGAGAATCAAATAACTAAGGAATGGACCTAACGGGTTAATGCACTAAAATACTAAAATAAAACTAGTACATTTTTTTTATTTGGTACTTTTACTACATGCACAAAAATACTGCAAGTACAATAGTTAAGATCATAGAGGATATGATTATTGGTCAACCCAGCATAAAAGTTTAGTGTAATTTTATAGGGGGGTTTGAGGGGGGAAAGGAATTATTATAATAATAAAAAGAGTTATATCGAGTTATAATCAAAATCTGTTCACACAGAGAAATATTAGGTTAATCATCCTAACATCTGTCACTATATTTCTTCCAGCAAAACTGACTGGCTCTCCTTACATTTATTTCCTTCTAGGGATCGATTTCGAACAGTGACCAATGTCCTAGGTGATGCATTGGCTGCTGGTATCATAGCACACATCTGCAGACAAGATTTTGCACCAGAGAAAGTATGTATTACTTTGGGAGAGAAGGAAATAGGGGCTATAGTAGATACACTGAAGGGTGGGGCTAGGATCCAGAGAGACCTAGACAAATTGGAGGATTGAGCCAAAATGAATCTCATGAGGTTCAGCAAGGACAAGTGCAAAGTCCTGCACTTCGGACAGAAGAATCCCATGCACCAGTACAGGCTGGGGGCTGACTGGCTGGGCAGCAGCTCTGCAGAAAAGGACCTGGGGGTGACAGTGAACAATAAGCTGAATATGAGCCAGCAGTGTGCCTTGTTGCCAAGAAGGCTGATAGTATACTGGGCTGCATTGGTAGGAGCATTGCCAGCAGATCGAGGGAAGTGATTCTTCCCCTTCATTTGGTACTGGTGAGGCCACATCTGGAGTACTGTGTTCAGTTTTGGGCCCCCCACTACAGAAAGCATGTGGACAAACTGGAGAGAGTCCAGTAGGAGGGCAGTGAAAATGGTCCGGGAGCTGGGGGACAGCCTCTCTTGTGAGGAGAGGCTGAGGGAACTGCGATTATTTAGTCTGCAGAAGAGAAGACCAAGAGGGGGGTTAGATAAAAGCGTTTAACTACGTGAAAGGTATTTCCAAAGAGGCTGGAGCTGGGCTGTTCTCAGTGGTGGCAGATGACAGAGCAAGGAGCAATGGGCTCAAGTTGCAGCAAGGGAAGTTTGGGTTAGATATTAGGGAAAAACTCTCTCACTAGGAGGGTGGTGAAGCACTGGGACAGGTTACCCAGAGAGGTGATGAAAGCTCCATCTGTGGAGGTTTTTAAGGCCCAGAAAGGGAAAGCCCTGGTTGAAATGATCTAGTTGGGGATGATCCTACTTTGAGCAGGGGTTGGACTAGATTAGTGGTTCTCAACCTTTTTTGTACGGGGACCCATTTGCCAAAATCAGTGGCTTGCCCCGACCCACAACTCCCTGGCCCTGCTGGTGCCCAATCCACAGTCCCCTGTCCCCACACCTCACCCCCTGGTCCTGCTGGTGCCCCTCACCCCCCAGTCACAGCCCCTTGCCCCCTGGACCATGCTGGTGCCTCTCACTCCTGATCCGCAGCCCCCTGCCCCACCCCCTCGCCCTGCCATAGTCTTATGCCCAGCCACCATCCTGAGTGCCAGCAGGTGGGTATGCACGCAAACAGCCAGACACCCCCACAGCCCTCTGGACAGTCCCTTGGACTTCCATCCCCCACTTCCCATTCACTTACTTGCGTCCAGCAGCTGGTGCTGCTCTCATTACCTGGCCTTGCTCTATGCTGGACACGTACATCTGCGCGCATAGACGCACGTATGTCCGCTGCCTCCAATCATCCCAAGCAGCCACTTGCAGGCTGGAAAGCTGCTGGGTTTTTCTGGGATCCTGCTCATGACCCACTTTTAGGTCGCAACCCACCAGTTGAGAAATGCTAGACTAGACAACCTCCTGAAGTTCCTTCCAACCCTCAAAAAAATGGGTAGATTAAGGAGCAAAATTAAGAGCAGATTTTTCTGGGGTTTTTTGCAGCAAGATCCAGTCAGCAACATGGACAAACTGTCTTCTGTAGAGGCTTCGCTTCTCTACCCCAGAGATTATGTGATAGAAATAACTGAAGAAACTTTGTCTGGAACAGGAATTATTTATAGCATCTGTCGGGTGTAACAGCTGCATTGTTTCCATGTCCTAAAAAGGTACTTTGGTGCTAAAATGCTACCACCCTAAACTCTGTTTGCAGGTATCCTAGAGAATGAGGCATTTCTCGGTGTATTAAGCAGCAGAAAAATTCCCTTTTCCTATGGAGAGGTCTACAGTGCTCCAACACGCGACAGCCAAGTGTAGCTGTGCTGCTCAGAAGTGAATTAGGAAGCAATGGTGCCAATTGTTTGAGACTGGTGGGATACATTTATAAAGCAGCAGTTTTGGTTGCTTTTTTTAAAGGTGTCACGCCACTAGATCCTCAGCACTTTTTTTTTTTTTTTTTTTTTTAAGATGGAGGAATCGACAGCTCTTACAGGATCATTTTAGCAAGTAATTTAAAAAATGGGGCTGGGGAGGATTAGAAAACATTCTCCAGTCAGCACTGTTGGCTCTGTTATATTTAGTGTTGAGAGATTATGCCATTTTTTAATTTTCTTTTTTTATACAAAGATGTTGTATGGTCTAAAACAAAGATTCTAAGTAGACTTTCTGTCTACGGTCCAAAATCTAAATTATGATAATCCTTCAGGAGCAGTCTACTGGGGCAAATTTGGATTTTCCAAACAGTGTTTATTAGGAGCAGAGTTGTTTGATATTTTCAATTTTTCCATACTCATTTTTAGTCAGTATGTGCTAATCAAGGTTCCCAGTAATCACCGGGGGCTCAAATGACTACTGTATATAGCTACAAAATGAGTAGATCTTCACCATTTAAAAAAAAGATACATTTGGGAAATAACAGCAAAATCTGCATATTGCGAGTCAAACAAACTTTAAATGTCTATTTGTTTTGTTTGTTTCTTCATAATACAGGGAATCCAAATACAAGCAAATAGAAACTGTATGTAGGCATGGTATGGGAATGAGAAAGGCAGTTGCATATACAAAATTTGTAGTGATTTTTTTTTTTAAATCATCGGGCACCTAAAACATTATTCATTTTTCCCCCAATTTGTCATTACCATTTCAATATAAAAATGTTTGCATTTTACTGAACTCACAATAACTTCTTTTATATTCTCTAGAAAGAAATGCACTGAATTTTTTAAGGGACTGGAATAGCTCCTTGTAAAGCCAATGGAAAATCTCCCATTAATTTCAACAGGAGTCAGATCAAAGCCCAAGAGACTGAAGAGTGATCTGCAGGTGATTTGGAGGTGTATGCAAGACCTGTTCCTTTATATTATCTAAAGGAAAGAGAGAAAAGTCCCTGGGAGAAATAGCTGCTACTGATTCCTCTTAGGAAATACTTCAGAAGTTTTCCAGAATTTAAAATAAAGGAGATAAATGTCAAAAACTACCATTTTACATACCAGACCCAAAAGTTCTGTTGTACTGAAGCAAATATGCATACTTTTAAAAATCATGTTGTTTTATCTGTTCTTGGAAGAAAAATATCAACTGCATGTTCCACATTCCAAATACAAATGCAACCACGTGCTGTACAGCCACACAAATATTTTCTTTCATTTTTTTATATTTAAACCAAATGTAAATGACATCTTTGGCCTACATGATGACCGGATCTGCAAGACAGTGGTAAGAAGCTGGAAGCAGGGCAAGAGGGACATTATGGACATACAACATCTACAAAAACCAGGCAACCAGCGATGGTTATTTTGTGCGCCAGCTGGGGACAGCTGATTGATTACTCAATTTAAATAAGCCTTTAGAGAGTCAATGCATGAACTGCTGTAACTTCAACATGATATTATCAAGTTTATTCTTGCTCCCCCTTTCACCCTAATGTTATATGCTCCAACAACAACATGATTATCCATGGTAATAGCATCAAGCTATCCTACCACTCTCACTCTATTTTTATCCCACTACACAATTCAATAAGGCACAGCTGAATGGAAATGTTAAGGCTTTTTTCCTGCCACCTAAGACTAAGGCCAGGTACAGACATTACACTTATACCAGTATAAGCGAATCAGAAAGCAGTCTACACCCATTCCACGCACATATAGACTGGTTTTAAAATGGCAGCACCCAGTCTAAGATGGATCTGAATCATTGGGATATCAGACTTAAGCAATTTAGGTTAGACTGTTTATCGAATTTCTGTACCAGATCCCCTACTGACTCAAGTTAGGTCGCTGTCCTCTGGCATCCCAGGTGCCTTTGTAGCCCCCTGCTCTCTCTCCTCCCAGGAAGGTGCACTGGAACTTGGGTGGTGTTTGGCTGCTCCAGCTGAGTACCTAGCTGGCTCTGCCCCTCAGACTAGCAGAAAAAACCTCTGTCCTCAGCCCTACCAGCTGTCAGGTGCAGCCAGTGGGGGTTGGAAATGTTGGCCCCCATGCTGGGCACCGGGGAACAAGTCCCCTCTTATCCTGCTGATTAGGGCTGTGCGAGGCTTCAGACCGTGCTTCGGATCCAGAGAAGCTTCGGATGCTTCGGCGTCCAAAGCAGCATGTCTGAATCGAAGCGCTGGCTTCGTTAGGCTTTCCAAAGTGGTTCGGCGCTTTTGAACCGCTTCGGAAAAGCTTTGGAGCCGCTTCGGAGACCTGGCCATAGGGTATAATGGGGAATCAATGAAATATCTATAACTTTATTGTTTTTTTTGTCTGATTTGAATGATCCTTGCAGGGTTGGTAGCCTCGGCTGAGAGCATGAAGCTTGCCAAGTTTCAAGAAGATCGGTGAAGGGGTTGGGGGGAACTGTACCCCAAGTTCTTGAAAGCAAAACTCGTGTCACATGTATGTGTTACACCACAGGGGGGTGAAAACTGCAGGGGTGGTGGCCCCTGGTCCAAGTTCCAAAAGACTGGTTCCAAAAGATAGGGGCTTGGGGAGAACTGCACCTCAAGCTGCGGACAAGCAAAACTCGTGACATGGGTGACACTGTGTGTGTTAAGGCGCAGCGGGGTGAAAGCTGCAGGGATGGTAGCCATGACGCTTGCCAGCTGTAGAGGAGATAGGAGCAGGGCCCCAGAACCCAGAAGCCCTGCACCTCTAGCTGCTGACAGGCAGAACTCATGCCATGGGTGCTTGTGCAACTGACTGTCTCTGTCTTGGGGCAGTTGATTGTCTGTATTGATTCTTTCCTCTCCTTAGTCTCTGGTTTTGTAGGTATTAATTAGGTATTAACGAGTTAATTAGCAAGGATTAACACCTACAAAACCACAGGCTAAGGAGAGGAAAGAATCAATACAGACAATCAACTGCCCCAAGACAGAGACAGTCAGTTGCACAAGCACCCATGGCATGAGTTCTGCCTGTCAGCAGCTAGAGGTGCAGGGCCTCATGGGTCCATCACATTCCCATGGATGGGGGTGCCCAGGCTACCACAGGCCCATTACGCTCCCATGGATGGGGGGCCCCTGAACCCAGAACCCCCCTGCACCTATTTCCTGGACAGCTGCCAGGCTTTGTGGCTGCAGCAAGGGCTAGCAGGCCCTGCAGCTTTCACTCTGCTGCACCTTAACATGTTAACCTTAACGTGTTAAGGTTAACTCGTTAACCTTAACGAGTTTTGCTTTCAAGAATTTGGGGGACAGCTCCCCTCCAACCCCTGCACTGATCTTCTTAAAACTTGGCAGGTTTCATGCTCTCAGCAGACGCTACCAACCCTGCAAGTTTCATTCAAATCAGACAAATACCAACCAAGTTATAGATATTTCATTGATTCCCCATTATACCCTACGGCCGGATCTCCGAGGTGGCTCCGAAGCTTCGGAGTCGCTTTGGCCGGATCGAAGCGGGAACCCGGTACCGAGCTCTGGATCAGATTGCTGGCATTTGAAGTGGCCGGCTCCAAAGCTGGATTGAATAAGTGCCTGCTCACACAGGCCTACTGTTGAGCTGTTGTGCATGGACATGCATGTTAGCATCCCTCCTTACCCCCCACCCCCCACTTCCACTACAACCTCAGTCTTGTGGAACAGGAGTCCATACTCAGCCCATAAATAACCCTGATATTATTGTGCAAGCTGATAAGGGGAATGCCACTGTTTTCACAGACAAAACAGCATATCTACAGGAAGCTGAGAGCTTTCCAATGTAGAGTTTTACAAACCACTGACCAAGGACCACACAGCACAATACCAAAGGGAACTAAATGACTTCTAAATGACACTGCCCCATGGAACTACAAGAGAGGATTAATACTTCCACCTGCCAGAGACTTAATCCAGGCAACTTTTACTCATTACCCAAGATCCACAAATCTGGCAACCCAGAACACCCATTGTCTCCAGCACTGGAACCATCACAGAGGTAGTTTCTGGCTACATTTACTCTATCGTGTTCCCATATGCCCTTGGAGTTGCCAGCTATTTGAAAGACACTACAGATTTACACTACAGATTTCTTAAAGAAACTGGGTTCCATTGGCAAGCTTCCAACAAACACCATATTAGCTAGCATAGATGTCATGTCTGTACACCAGGGGTGGGCAATTATTTTGGCTGGAGGGCCACTTAAGAGTTTTGGTGAGCTGTCGGGGGGCTACACACACAAAATCTTTCAGAAGTTATCAATTTAACAAATTATAAATTTTAAAAAAATCATATAGTAAAAATCATACATTATAACATTTTAATTTTTTTTCCAAAAAATACTTTCTGTCCTCATTTATGTTTTTTGAGTAGTGTATATAGAGGCAATTGCATAATAGCTCAAAATAAAGTCTTACTCTTGTATATCATGTGTCAGGGAGGGTGCGTATAGGGGTGGGCACATGGATGCATGTGGGGGGTTGGGCATGTGACGAGATGTGGGGGGCTGTCCATGTGCTAGGTCCCAAGAGCCAACCGGGGTGGGATGAGGGAGGGCAGCCAGGGATGTGTGCAGCAGAGTTCACTTGGGTGGTGTGATGTGGTGCAGTGCCCCCCC